ATATATATATATATATATATATATATATATATATATGTATGTATGTATAGCATGCGAGCATAATGTTTCCAAAATCAAACAATTAAGTGTCAATTTTCAGTTTGAGAGTTTTAAGAATTCTTTCCGAACCATTTTCATGAGCGTAGTACTAATTAAATATGAATGAACCTGAATTGATATGAGTTTACACATCAGTTTTCTCTTAGCAATGATCAGAATTTTTGTCTAAAAATCAACCCCAATTCTTATGATGTGCTCACCCCGTTCTATGAACATCCTGTAATGCCCGATTAATTTTCCTTTAGGAAAACCCTCAATTTTCAGAAATAATTTGAAGTTTTAAAAATATTTTTTTTCCAATTAAAACTCTTTTCGGGCATTACTAAAAAAAATATTTCTTTTTAACAATTCGAGCCATAATGAAAACCCATTCATAAAACCTTCGAAACACACAGTCAAAGTATCAACACACAGTAGTTCCAAAAACAAACCCAAGATAATACGAAATCGGGAATTTATTTGGAAGTAGTAAAATCATATAACAAAACACTTCGACCACCCTCATCTCCTTCTGACCGCAGCCAGCTGCTCAACCTGAAAAATGTTAATGGATGAGGGCGAGAAAACAACAAGCTTACCGTGGGAAAACTATGCAATTATGCAGTATAATAACAGATAGCAAAATTTTTAGCATGGGTATAAACAACAATATTCTGAACTGTCTCAATGTCTCCATTCATCAGTCGTCTTATGAGTACACACCGTTATTGTCGGTTCACCGTCTCATAGGTGCTCAACGACAAGAGCTCACACTGAATGCGCCACACAGTCATTGCACCACAGCAAATGCGCCACACAGTCGAATGCGCCACACAGTCATTGTGCAACACAGTCAAGTGCCCGTCTCACAGCCAATTTCGTCACACAGCATATATTTATACACATACATCAACTATGAAATCATGCGATTATAAAGCATAAAGGCATAGTGGTTTAGCAACACCCACCTCGGTTTGGATGATGCATATAATGTAGATTCTTCACATAGACACTCGAGGGCTCGACTCCTCGAAATCTATATTTTAAGGCAAGAATTTTCTCATAAATAAATTACCTCAATTCTCTTGGAATTTAACACGTTTTAACTTAGTCAGTTTTAATTGAATAAGGACTTATAAATTAATTAGTGGAACTCGGAACTCTCGGAAAAAGGTTCACAAAAAGGTTCACGAGGCTAAAATAATTTTATTATGAAAAAAAAAACATATTGATAAAAAAACATTGATCATGGTTGTCAATAATATAAAAATAAATCACATTTTGAAATTGTAAAGAATAGATAATATATTTTTAATTTTATTATCTGGTCGTTAGTAGAGCTATTTAATGTATCTGATTATTATCTCATAAATAGTAAATTAATTTGAAGATTTTTTTAATAATTAAATCATGCTTTAGAAAAAATATATTGGTAAACATCATTCAGCTGCTTCATTTTGCATCAATAATAAAAAAATTTTCCTAACCTCTTACAATTTTTTAAATTCAATATTTGTGAAAAAACAAATTAATAATACTGTGACAACATAAAATTTATTTTCATGTTTATCTTGACCAAATATTACAAAAATGAATCAAGGGAAATCCAATTATATTTATTATAACTGATATCAATGAACGAAAAATCATATATATTATAATGATATCAATGAAATTATTATAGATGTTAGTATAATTATTTAAGGTAAGAATATTTTTATCATGACTGGTCTAATTGGGAAACGTGTATATACTAACATGGATCTGCTCCCCTACCCATGGTGGGCAGAGAATTAATATGTCCACCGCTTATGTGGCATTTACACATTGGGCATATTAATTCTCTCCCAATTCTTATGCTCAATGTGTACATGCCACATAAGCAGTGGGCATATTAATTTTCTGGCCACCGTGAGTAGGCGAGCAGATCCCTAAACAAACATTCAGTGCATATATTTAAAAAGTTCATAAAGAAGGTATGCATTAAATGTTTACGAATTTTTTTAGATACAATTTTTATTAAATCTTATTCTCTTTACGTACTTATCCATATGGATAAATATAATAATAATAATAATAATAATAATAATAATAATAATAATAATAATAATAATAATAAAAATAATAATAAGTGATTATTGACTATAATATATTATTTTGCTCATTTCGGCTCTCGTTCTCCTTTGGTCATTCTCGATTTTTTTTTATAATTTTATAATTTAATAGCTTAAATCACCAACATCATTTCTAGTTACTCTCAAGGAGCACCAAACTCGAGTTGGGTTTCAATTTTAATTGTATTCCTTTCAATTGAAAGGGTTTATCTTTTTAACCATAAGAATTCTTTCAGGAGCAGTATGGGCTAATGAAGCGTGGGGATCCTAGCCTCGTTTTACTCTTTCTTTCCAGTCAAGCCTTTGCTTGAAGTAGGACCCTTTCGGTAACCTCTTTGTGAGTTTGTGACGATGCCCTCTTTCTTTTTCAGCGGGTTGCTGCGATTCTTTTTCTTTAGTTGTCTATACATACTTTGTTATTATTATTATTATTATTTTGTTAAAAGGAGATGATTTTTTTCAGTCTTTTACGATTTTACAAGATTGAATGTGGATTGTAGGCATTGTTTTTATATTTTTGGTCCCTAACATGTTGACTTTGTGGGATTGAATGTGGATATGGCTCTTTNATTATTAAAAAGGAATGATACACGTAGAAACATATCAAAAAAATAAAACAAAAATCAATCATATATATATATATATATAGTAAAAGTTAGTTTATTCTTAATTAGAAAAATTATAATTTGCAAATAAAAAAATTGTAGGTGGTGTAATTTTCTTAATGTAGACTAGGAGCATTACTTTCATATTCGAGCTATGGCCTACAACTATAAAGGACCGGCCCTGCCTGAAATCTTAACTTATGCTATATTTACTAACTAAAAAAGTTAAATAATATTACTCCCGGGACATAGTCTGCTCGTAGCACGACCGTTCACGCTGGGCCCAAATGGTCTGCATAGGGGGATTGAATCCTAATGGGAGAGAGCCCTCGACAGCTTTTTCCTCTTTTGGGGAAATGAGACAGGCTGGTAATCACCTCTGTGGCATTAGACCTTCTCCTATGTGGCGTTAGACCTTTTTGGGGCAGTAGACTAGTAATATGAGACATTCCGCGGTTTATATTCCGAAGTAGCCGGGGGTCCAACTACAAGGTTTGGGACTGACAGGTGCAAGCATGGAGCTTGGATATAAAAAATAAATAAATAAATAATATTAATCAATGGGTTATTTTTCAAAAGAAGAGTTAAATTAAGTAAAAGGAAAAATTGCAAGATGCATCAGTGCCAAAATTAATTCCAACAATATTATGGCAGCATGCCAAAGTAGCTCTGATCTTTGCCTTAAAATTATTTTATTGTGATTTGTGTATATCTTCGTTTTTGTTTTTATTAATGAAAGATTCAAAGGTCAGGCATCATGATGTCAAGGAATAACTTTATAATGAAATATGCAATTGGCTGGAACAACCACTGTTTTTGTCGACTTTATCTTTTAAATTTCGATAAAGATCGAAAACTGTCGTAAAACAAAAAGTGTGCACGTTATTTTCCTATAATTTCATCATTTAAGATGTTGAATACCTAATATTCTCAAATTGAGAATATATATATACTAAAATTTTGTCTCGACTTTAACTTCGTATATTGCAATATGCAACTAGGTGGAACGACCACTGTTTTTGTCTACTTTATCCATTGAATTTCGATAAAGATCGAAAACTGTTGTAAAAAAAATAAAATAAAGTGTGCACGTTATTTTCCTCTTTTTCCATCATTTAAGAAGTTGAATATGTATATATATAAATATATATACACACACACTCTAAAATTTTGTCTCAACTTTAACTTCATGTAATGAAATATGCTATTAGTTGGAACATCCATTGTATTTGTCGACTTTATTTTTTGAAGTTCGATAACAATTGAAAAATGTCGTAAAATAATGACAAAAAGCGTGCATGTTATTTTCCTCTAATCCCAGCATTTAAGAAGTTGAATACGTAATATTCAGAAATAGATAAATCATATATATATATATATAGGGTTGCGCTCCGGTGAGAAAGGTCCTCAATGAAAGAAATAGGAATAAATTCTAGCCATCAGATTGAATGATCTAATAGTAACAAAAAATTGAACATCTATTTATTCATTAAGGGTATTTTAGACATTTTATTATACACATACCAATTACCCACTAACCTATATCCAATGATTACACGACACGTGGCCATTACACCTCACACCATCCCAATACCCACCTATCCTCTTTCTCTCATACACCACACATACACGCAGTACACCATATCTCCATGCACAGAAATACACACACAACACACACTCACCACGTGGCTGACACACACACGCACGACCCGCCCGTCGCTGCCGACCTTCACGCCGGCGTCCCACCCAATGCCATCCGCAACCACCGTCGGAACCGTTTCCAGCCACTGTCGAGCCCACCTGACCTTTTCAATCTCGATTTTTTTTTTTTTTCCGGTAGGT